GGGGGGGGGCTCTCTCACTGCTTAGGAAGCAGTGCCCCCACCACCCTGCGCGCCCTTCACGCCCTCCCACCCAGAGACTGCGGCTGTGAGGGACAGACACCCAGGAGCAGGCCTCTCTCCTCCTCTCTACATGACGCGGTCGTGGCATTCAACAACCGGTAACGCTGTTTCTGACCATGAGGATGGGGCCAGGGACGCTTCTGCAGCACCATGTCCATCCAAAGCCGACGCCGGAGCCAAGCCCAGGCCGCCGGTTCTGCAGTTAAATTAACCGGGGGCCGCCCGTGGAGCTGACCGGATTCTAGGGGACCGACGGCTCCACGTGAACCCGACCACAGGGAGAAAGCACCGTCGTCACCATCGGCTGCAGTCACGGCACCCGTGAGCCGAGGGAGCAGAGGGTTCGCGCACTTACAGGGTACAGGCCGCCGGAAAGGGCCTTGCCCAGGAGGACGAGGTCAGGCCTGACGTTTTCATGGTCGACCGCCAGCCATCGACCAGTCCTGGCCAGTCCCGTCTGGATCTCATCGGCAATAAACAGCACCTATCGGAAAACCACACACCGACGTTAATCATCAATTTCATTTCCCTTTTCCCCACACAGATGAGCTTTGTGAAAATGCTGTCATCAGCCAAGCAATGTCAACAGTGTGCTATGAGCCCTGGCCGGTGTGGCTCAGTGGGCTGGGCACTGTCCTGTGTGCAGAAAGGTTGCCAGTTCCATTCCCAGTCAGGACACAAGCCCAGAGGCCGGTCTGCTCGGTCCCACAGGCAGGAGAGGAACTAATGCCAGGTAAGGCCTTTGCAGGGGTTTCTGAATAGAACTAATCTCTAGAAACAATTAATTCACTTGTTTATTCCACCAGCATTTATTAAACATCAACTTCCTATTAAATATTTACTAGTTTGGGGGGAGAGGCGGAGAGAATGTGAATGCTGGCACAGAGGACAAAGGTTGGGAGGAATCGGGGGCAAGTGCTGGAAGGGGAAGGGTGGGGGGAGGGGGACAGGAGGCTGCAGCTCCGCGGCCCAGGGTCCGCCGGTTCCCACAGCCAGTACCAGTGGCTCATGCAGGCCGCTCAGAGCTCTGAAGCTCCAGAAAGGACGTCTCCCACTAGGGAAAGTCAGGCAATCTCTGCACGTATCCCCCGTCAGCTGAACCCTGTGATGCAGGCAGGTGAGGTGAGAAAGGGGGAGGTGGGAAAGGGGGTGAGGCAGGGGCGCCCACCTGGTGCCTGGTGCAGAGCTCGCGCACACCCATCAGGTAGCCTGGGTCGGGGACAATGACGCCCGCCTCGCCCTGAATGGGTTCGACCATGAACGCAGCAACGTTTGGATCCTGAAGAGCACGCTGCAAACAACATGGAAGCACACGTCAGCCACTTCCTTTCTGACCATTTAACATCGGAATTCACACGGTGCACACATAGCTTCCTGTAGAGAATAAGTATACCGGGGTCCTCAAACTTTTTAAACAGGGGGCCAGTTCACTGTCCCTCAGACCGTTGGAGGGCCGGACTATAGTTTAAAAAAAAACTATGAACAAATTCCTATGCACACTGCACATACCTTATTTTGAAGTAAAAAAACAAAACAGGAACAAATACAATATTTGTATTTGCATGTGGCCCGCGGGCCGTAGTTTGAGGACCCCTGAAGTATACAAATTACGTTTTCGCACTAAATTATATTCTGACTTCAAACTATAACGTTTCTGATATTCAATTACCAAAAACTCAAATACTTCACCTTTAAACTATTCTATCCTACATTTTCTTATATAGTAAAATGTAACTAAAATTTGAGAAAATGGCCTTTTTAAAAGCCATTTTCAGTGCATCTTTTCATTTCACAAGTCCTCCACTCACTTGAAAACACTGGCTGGAAACTGGGTGGCTTTACCCAGTAACTAAGCGTATACTCTCTAGGCAGCGTGCACACAGGACACACCTAAGGGGGTGGCTGGCTGTCGGTTAGACCCCGGACCTCGATGTCCCCACACTGGACACTACGGACCATCACAGAGAGCCCGAGTCCGGGCCTGGCGAAACGAGACCGGTTTCCTTAGTCACATGTCCACGTGTCACTCACACACTCCCCGAGTCTAAGCCCATTTACTGAGTGCGACAGCACGGACGCCGGCCGGTACCTCGAGAGCAGGCAGGTCGTTGTAGGGAATGATCTCGAATCCAGGCATGAAGGGGCCAAAGCCGTCGTAGCTGCTGGGGTCCGTGGAGCTGGAGATGGCACACATAGTCCTGCCCCAAAAGTTTCCAGCTAGAGGAGAAACAGTGATTACATCAATCACCCACATTTAAAGAGCAGCCCCCAAAATGCCTTAGGAAGTTGGAGTTTTGAAAACCAAGGCTTTGCTTTGAGAGCTTCCACTTGTTACAAAACCTGGTATGGACCCCATGGCTCATGGGACACCAGAGTCCCTGCGAATGCCATGCGGGCACTTCCCTGACTCCCAGCGCAATGCAGCCCGCGGGCCTCCTCTCCTCAACTACCCCGCCCCATGGAGGCCTCCGGCGACTTCCCAACCCCCGCGCGTCTGTGGGAACGGTGTGCGAGAACAGCCTCCACGAGGTTCCCAGTTTTCCTCTCGGCGTCCAGGCCACAGGCTGGCTGTTCTGCAGGATGGACGGCACACGCCCCAGGCGGTGCACTGTCACCGTGCCTTCCTGGTAGAACCTGTGCCCGGCAACAGCCACCTGCCCTGCACAGGAGCATCCCGCCCTCACGCAGCTCATGAGGAAGGGAGAGGGCCACCTGCGTGGCTGCTCTGGGGGTTTAGAAAGACAGTATGGAGACGTGACTCCTGCCGGCCCAGGGGCGCACGCTCTAGCAGGCGAGAAACACCACAACATACAGCGCGTGTGTGAGCTCCCCGCACTGGGGAAATGCAAGGAAGGAAGAAAAACAACGCAGAGTGAGAGAGAGCCTTGGAGGGTCTCCCACTTTTTGTTTAAATGGTGATGTGTCACTTTATATATTTTTATTGATTTCAGGGAGGAAGGGAGAGAGAGAGAGAGAGAGAACCATCAATGAGGAGAGAGAATCATTGATTGGCTGCCTCCTGCCTCCCCCTACAGGGGATCGAGCCCGCAGATGAGAAATCAATCATAAAGTCACTCACCCGAGGGAGAGAGGAGTAGGAAGTTATTTAGGAAAGAAAAATCGCATATGTGAACAAATATTTGGAAATAAACCCAAGAAAAGAAAATTTTTATGTAACATTCAACAAACACTGTGTCCTATCCTGTATGAACAAACACATTACAGCATCTCACCAGTGAGTTCAATGGCAAACAGCACTGTGTGTGCGAAGCGCAGAACGCGGAGCAGCACGCACCTGCGAACACGATCTTGGCCTTGTACTTGGGGATGCCCTTCACGGTGTAGCCCCACCGCCGTGCAAGCTTGCAAGCCGTCTCTCCGGCCTCCACTCCTACGAGAGAAAACGTCCCGTTAGTAAATGCTTTAGACCAGCGGTTCTCAACCTGCGGGTCACAACCCCTTTGGTGGTCGAACGATCCTTTCACAGGGGTCGCCTAAGACCATCCTGCAGATCAGATATTTACATTACGATTCATCACAGTAGCAACATGACAGTGATGAAGTAGCAACGGTAATAATTGTATGGTTGGGTCCCAGCATGAGGAGCTGTATTTAAAGGGCCAGGAGGTGGAGAACCGCTGCTCTATATGCTCAGAACATGCGACCGTCCTCTTGGCTAACACAGAACACGGGCCCTCACCTGTGTTCATGGGGAGGACCTTGTGGTAGTTGAAGAGCTTCGTGACGTACTCCTCGTACTCGCCCAGCACGTTGTTGTAGAAGGCGCGCGAGGTCAGCGCCAGCTTCTCCGCCTGGCTCTTCAGGGCGTCCACGATCTTTGGGTGGCAGTGCCCTTGGTTGACGGCGCTGTACGCGCTCAGGAAATCAAAGTACTTCCTGCCTTCCACATCCCACAGGTAGATGCCTAAGGTGACAGGGACGTCACTTTAGAGAAATCACAAAGCGCAGAATATAAAACACAAAAGACTTTAGAAAATCAGGGAGTGTGCAGGAGGTGATTCTCTCTCATCATTGATGTTTCTATCTTTCCCTCTCCCTTCCTCTCTGAAATCAATTAAAAAAGCAAAATAAACAAATGAACAAACAACACACACACACACACACACACACACACACACGCCCGGCCTGTATTGCTCAGGGGTTGAACATCAGCCCATGAACCAGGAGGTCGCTGGTTCGATTCCCAGTCAGGGCACCTGCTGGGGTTGCGGCTCCATCCCCAGTAGGGGGCATGCAGGAGGCAGCCAGTCGATGATTCTCTCATCACTGATGTTTCTATCTCTCTCCCTCTCCCTCTCTCTCTAACAATCAATAAAAACATATGTTTTAAGCAAGCACAACAGTAGTCTTTCACACTGGTGAGATGGTTATAATTTGTAAAAAGGGGAACCAGTGTCGGCAAGGACGGAGAAACCGGAACTCCCAGGTATCTGCGGGGAGGGCAGCGGTGACGGAAAACTTGGCAGAAGGAAATTCTTCCTCCGACAGTGGCAGCGTTCCTTCCTTAAGTGTAAACTCATGCCCAGCGACAAGGGAAAGGGCAGCGGCGGCCGTTCCAGTGCCTCACTCAGTACCTTCCCCTCTGCCGGCCAGAGCCGCCCACAAGGACAACCGAGGTCATCTTTGTGTCCCACAGCACCTAGCCCAGCGAGCGCCGAGACACCCAATAAACCTTCAACCTCATCTGCAATCGACAAGTTAAAGGACTCTGGGAAGACACACACTGAGAAAATGTAAGAGCCATTTCTACACAAGGTTTCACCGCGAAAAAGGAGCGATTCTGGATGAATTCGAAACGTGCCTTTCCCTCTCTCCAGGGCGACCGGTAAGGGGTGGTAGTTGTGAGCGCCATACTTGGATTCCCGTTCAAAAACGTAATCAGAGGATAGAGGGCCTTGGACCGTCTTCTTAGTCGCCACCGATGTAGCAGAAGCCACTGACGTGTGGGCGCCCCGACAAAGCCCCGCCACCGTCTGCAGACGAGCTAGCTTGGAAAGCATCGTGTCCGTGGAGCAGGAATCCCACCGACCTGCCGAAGGAACAGAAGGCACGAGGTAAGAGTCTCCTGAGTTGGGTGTGCTGACTCACCAAGTTACTGAGCACCTGCCACAGTCTACCGAGAAACCAAGAAGTGAGCGAGCCCTGGCCGTGGCTCAATGGTTAGAGTGCCGGCCTGCGCACCAAAGGGTTGAGGTTGGGATTCCCAGTCAAGGGCACGTACCTGGGTGGCAGGTTCCATCCCCGGCTGGTCAGGGAGTGTGCGGGGGGCACTGACCGATGTGTCTCTCTCACGTCAATGTTTCTCTCTCTCTCCCCATTCCCCCACCCCACCCCACCATACTCCCTCCCTTCTACTCTCTCTAAAACTCAGTGGCGGGAAGCCTGAAGGTAAACAAGGGAGCAGGATATAAATATTGAGTCACACCTGACAAGCGCCAGGGGTGGGATGGACACGCTGTGCTACGGGCTGGAGTGCGAAGAGCGAGAGAAACAATGCGGGGCCGGCACTGCTCAATCACGGCCTCTGAGCCGCCTGGCCATTCTGTGGTAAACACGCACCCGCTTTAAGTCGTCGGTGCTGAGAGGACATCAGGGACAAGAACCCACTCTGCAGGGTCAGCCACGTGGAGGCACCGGCAGACGAAAGGGTTGGTGCCAGCCTCACAGGCTGAGCAGCCTTTCAGAGGCACTTATGTGGGGGCACGACAGTCCAGCCCTCAGTGAGCGGCCAAATCAGCAAAACTTACACGTGGACCCTGACTCGCTCCCCTCTCACTGGGCACACCCCACAGCCCAGCGTGGTCAGGAATCAGCCGCCACACTCACCAGCTACCCTTTCTTCCCGCGGTTCAGATGGAAATGCAGACTGTTAACCTGGATCCAGGGATGGTCTGCTGGGTCCAATAATCCCTGAAATAAAATGCAGAATTGTAAGCGTGACTGAGGAGAAGGTCCCCCCTTATATTAGCCTGCTCCGGCCGGGGGCTCAGGGGGCTGAGCGTGTCCCATGCACCCACAGGTCATCAGATCCCTTCCAAGGCAGGGCTCGGAAACCAGCTGTGGGCTGCATCCCCAGTAGGGGGCGTGCAGGAAGCAGCTGGATCTCGAACCTGGGACCCTTCAGTCCGCAGGCCGAAGCTCTATCCACTGATCCAAACCGGTTAGGGCAGGCTTCTATTTTTAAACTAGAGATTTTTTTAATAAGAGTAAGATGTTTCTACTGATTAAAAAATTAGAAACACAATTACCAGCAATTCCAGTCTTTGGAGATAACCATTAGTTTTATCTCCGCAGAAATACTACCCAGATGAGTTTTTTCACCCTCCTCCACAGAACTCACCACCTAAACCTCCTGAAGACTCCCAGGTCACCTTGCCACCTTCTGTCACAGGCCCTGCCCCCGCCCCCCCAGAACCCCACTAGGCTCCTTAAAGGGACAGTAACCTTGCCTAACATTCACTGGTCTGGGCCTTCCGTGAGCACCGTCTGTCAAATGGCGTCTCAACAACAAACAGCTACACAAAATATAGCTGCTCAGTCCAGGACACGCGGGCGTGGGGCTCGCGAGGAGCGCGGGCAGCAGCAGGAAGCGACATCGGCCCTGAAGAGACTAAGCCAGGGGTCGGCAAACTCCTTCGCCAACAGCCAAATACCAACAGGACGACAACTGAAATTTCTTTTGAGCCAAATTTTTTAAACTTAAACTATACAGGTAGGTACATTGTTATCAACTTAATGAGGGGACTCCTAAGGCTTAGGAAGAGCCACACTCCAGGGGCCAAAGCG